ACGTTAGTTTTTGTGGAATTGCAAGAACCAAAGACAACTGATTTGGAATGGGAATGGTGCAAATTGATGCTATCAGTGTCCCTGATACACATTAAAAATTTAGAAGACCTCTCTACAGTCCCTGTAAGACAGTGAACATCATGCAGTGAGCAATGAGAGATATTTTCCCAGATGAAGTCTTCATTATTTGGATTTCAATCTGGCAACCTTGAGCCATATTTACTGTCACAATGAAATGAAATGAAAGTTTTACGTTTTACGTTGCAGTTAACTGGGTTTATGAAGACACCTTGTAGTTTGCAATGAGGATAATTTTGCCATGGCAGCGGCATTAGCCTACTTTTTTGGATTTCCAATTTATGTGACAGAAAGAAATATTTCATTCAACTGTATCAATCTGTTAAAACAAATATTAAGACTTATATTATAACAGTTAATGAATTTATTTACTTCATTGTATTTACTCTATTTATGACACAGTGTGCTAGACAGGTTTATACTAGAAACAATCAAATGAAATCCTAGTTTTCTTCACCTGCTTGGCTACTGAAGACAGACAACAATATATTTTTTATTCATCTGGTATTATGTACACGTTTATGATTTATGTTCTCCGTCCATGTTATTTCTTGTCATATTCAGTCTTAGGCTTCAATTCACAAATATAGCTACAAATTAGTTTCATGCTATGCGATCTAACTGAAGTGAGACAAGTAGAGATCTTCAGACAACTGACTTATATTCAGCCTGCGTCCCTACTGAAGTTAGACAAGTAGAGATCTTCAGACAACTGACTTATATTCAGCCTGCCTCCCTACTGAAGTGAGACAAGTAGAGCTCTTCAGACAACTGACTTATATTCAGCCTGCGTCCCTACTGAAGTTAGACAAGTAGAACTTTCTCATGTCTATAAATTTAATATAGTTTTATCATTTTTAATTACATATCTTGTTATTTATGTATATCATCTGTGTATGTTTCCGTCCAAATTATTTTATTGTCACAGACCAATATAAATAGTCATTTTTACTTCAAATTTTGTTTTAAACTTTATTTTCAGTAATAATTAAGAGGGAATAAGGAAATGTGCCATCTTTATAAACACATGAATTGTGTATAAATCTCCCAGTGGTCAACCATATTATTTTATTTTTAGAAATATTGGAATATTAAAACAGAACCTGAAACATGTTGTTACTAGGTATAGGGGTAGAAATATTAAAACAGAACCTGAAACATGTTGTTACTAGGTATAGGGGTAGAAATATTAAAACAGAACCTGAAACATGTAGTTACTAGGTATAGGGGTAGAAGTTTTAAAACAGAACCTGAAACATGTTGTTACTAGGTATAGGGGTAGAAGTTTTAAAACAGAACCTGAAACATGTTGTTACTCATAATATAATGCTGTTTTTATGTAGTTTTAATTACATCATGTTATCAGGTTTATTTTTTATTAAATCTCAATAGAGGAAGTAACTCCTATTTTATTTTGATGAATTTCATTTTGTTATAACTGATAGTATTTCTCTTTGTAAGAGTCCACTACTTTACAACTTTTACTCTAGATTTTGCCATACTTTGGACAAGATTTTGATTAAAGGAATTGTCTTGCTTGTCCAGATTTTTGTATCTCTGTATCCAACTCTTCATTAAGACAAAGATATAAATACATGTCTTTAAAATCCCTTTAAAGTGAGATTTTTAGGGACTGAGAAAGAGTGGTATATTGTTTGTAATTCTATGATATATTGAAGTGATATTGAAGATTAAGATAAAAGGATTATAATAGATTATCTGTCAACCTCGTAAATATTCAAATCTATATATATATATAAATAGATAGCTGAATCATCAAGTGATAGTGTCATCTAATTATTGGTAATTTTTCAAGGGATTTTGTACTATAATTATTGGTAATTTTTCAAGGGATTTTGTACTATAATTATTGGTAATTTTTCAAGGGATTTTGTACTATAATTATTGGCAATAAGTAGTCTTAAAACTTGTTAACTTGATGATAGAGAACAATTAAAGAGATAAAGTCTTTGAATGACATTTAGCAATTGTGAGTACGATATATAGACATAGCTTTATGGAACAACAATCACTGGTTAAAGTTTTATGCAAAGTTTCGACGTGTTTCCATGTGCCTGAGGACGACGGGGGAAACACGTCGAAACGTTGCATAAAACTTTAACCAGTGATTGTTGTTCTATAAAGCTGTGTCTATATAATGAAAGAGATATTATAAAGTATGTATTCACTTGACTGGTTGATAGAGCCTAAAGTTATATGGTTGGCTAAATATTCACTTTATCAGCTGATTGAACTGAGAAGATCTGTAGCACCCTCTAATTAATATGTGTTCCAGCAAGATTTTAAAACAAGATTTTATTACCAAATAGTCGAATCTTTAAAGTGTTAGTGTTGTTTAATTATTCATTATTAATTAATATATCTCAAACAAAGTTGAATCAGCCAATTATTCACCAACTGGTAGAAATCAATTAGTGATTTATCTACACTGTAAAAACTGGATGTACATTTACTTACTTTACATTTATGTAAATAACTTCCAATGAATGTTAAAAAACAGCTAAAACAGTGGCAACTTTTCTGCCAGTTAAAAATGGTAAATTTACATTAAATTTTTTACAGTGAAAGTCTAAGCTGGTATAGCCTGTCACAGTAGATAGCTTGTGTTTCAGTTAGGCCTGCTGTATAAATTTACACTGTGTTTTAACTTTGTAATATCACGTACATTATGTTTCTTCTTTACCTGATTGAAAGATTCCATAGATCTGTTCTTGCCATTGTATTAGTTTTGAGACACTTACAGCCATACGGTCTTCTGTTTAAGCTATGCAAGCTATGCCACCGCTCTGTAACAGATTCGGCTTTACGAAAATAGCCGAGGATTGCCGAAAGACTTGCAGCTTCTTTAAGAAACATTTAAACCAAACAGTACAAATATGAGCTGTAACTTACAGCCTGTAAGTGTGTGAGATACTTAAACATGTACAACGACTATAGAAGCCTCTGCATATCAGAATACATTATCTCGGCCCCACCCCCAATCTATCTATTGGCTTGTAACCCACAAGTTATATTATCTAGTTATTATAATTACTCTGTGGTATTGTTATTGTACTCTGTTTATTATTGATGTTAAAAACTGAATAAAACTATTCCATCCACTGAATAATAAACTTCATTTTTATATACACATTATAATGTGGACGTATAACACCCTCGCTCATGTCCGTTCGTCAACAATTGGCCCGTGAATGCGATAGAGGCCTAACTTTTTGTCAAACGTTTATTACATTTTATGTGTACGAAAGATCTCGGACAAGTTAAAAGTTGGGTACGATTCGACAAAAATTGGCAACCCTGAAACACTAAAAATCTGACAGATGTGGCTTGTAAATATTACAGACAACAGTTTTTGTCGGTGTTTCAATCCTTGATATACAAAACATATATTGAAGTAGGACGTATCTTGCTTAGCAACCACCTGTTTATCAATGTATAACCAGTAAGGGTAAAGGGAGGAGGTGAACCCCCCCCCCCCCACCCCCCCTATCA